TACTAAGAAAATATCTCACATGTTATCTGTCAACTCTGTCATTGAATATTGACTTATAATTGTCAGAAATCGATTGTCAATTGATTTAATCATTGAAATAAAAATAAAGTAAACAATGATGGTTCATTATATTTAAATGATATCTTACTGAGCACATAATATAATGTATGCGAAATTGTTTGAAATAAAGGTGAGTACAGTGAGGCGAAATACTGAAAGATAGTTCATAATACAGCATAACATGAAGTTATCATATAGCACAGTGAACATGATACCGAGTGTGACATCGATCTGATACTTAAGAACACGAAATTCAATGATTCCAGAATAATAATAACGGAGAATTCGTAGTGCAAAATAAAACCGTAACATAGTTTGATGAAATTCAATGACTCTGATGTGAATGGATATTAGATATTCCCGGGACACGAATAGAATATCCGAGGGATGTACCGAGCGGGATGTCCACTGGACAACCACTGCGGTACATACCCTGGATGCCCCAATCATGTCCTTGTACCGCGGCACAAAAAAGGGACGTACCTAGGGCATCCCTGTGTTGTTAGAGTATCAAATTTAATTTCTTCTTTCGGCGATTTGATGGCCCTTTTTTCACTTTTCCCACCACCAATTACTATAAAAACTCCATGTCCAGAGGAAAAAAAGTCAGTCTTGATCGAAATCTTGATACGAAGTCTCATGTCTTGAACCAGTAACTCTGCTAAACAGTCTAGTTATACGTGATATGTAGTTGATATTAAAAATTGCTTAAAAGTCTGTAACTAGTGAACATATTGTGTTGCTGCAATAGATGTGTATCGAGAATTATTGAACTTTCATAAAACTGTATTAACTTTTCAAAGTGACCCGGTATAATAGTGCGAGTGTACATCATCCTGTCATCATGTATAACCAATCAATATTATGTGAGCACATCTGTTTTACCTCCTTGTCAACTCTGCCTGTCCATATTATGATGATTGCTGAATAGAGATTTATGTAGGAAAGGAAGTGTTGACATTCTACCATCAACGGCAGAAGAATGACTCGTAGACATAAAGATTAAAAGATGTCACCGGTTCAACAACAGGAGACGACAACAATGACGACGACCAGAAAAATATCATTGTTTCCATGCCCATGAACTTAGATGCAATACCAGAGTATAATAGACAGACAAGTATTCATGACTTTCTTTAAATTATCGAAGAAACGGCGATATTGGCAGGGTGGACAGAAAAACAACAAACAGCGATAACTCGATTGGAATTAAGAGGAATAGCCAAGCAGTTGATAGACTCAGAACCAGATCTGCGAGCTACATCAACATGGGATGTTCTAGAAGAGGCCTTACGTAAGCAGTTTGGTGTAGTTCAACTTCCTGGACAAGCACTGAAGGCGTTTATTGAGTGCAAACAACGAAATGGTGAGTCTTGTAGGCAATTTCTGGCTCGATTAGAAATTGCTGCTAACAAGACTGTAAAATACACCGCTAGCCCAGATGACAATCGCCTGATAAAACAGAAATTAGCAGCGGATACAACCACACAATTTGTCCTCGGCCTACTCAACCCGATACGGAAGAAAGTATTGTCCGCACAGCCCGCCACACTAGAAGAAGCGGCGAGAGTTGCAGAAAAAGAGGAGACGATAGAAAATCTCACCGAGATACAGGAACGAGAATGCAGGGTGGTGGACTCACGCGAAATAAATCAACAGAATGCAAGATCAAGAAACACTCTTAACTGCTACAGATGTCAGAAAATGGGACATTTTGCCAGAAATCGCAAGGAACGAATCAACAGCAATAACCGAAACCGAGTGTGTTATAGATGTCACAGACCTAGACACATAGTGAGGTATTGTCCAGACAGAAGCCAACAACGAGGTCAAGGTCATCCAACTGGGACCTGGCGAACTACAGGTAGAGGAGGACGTTCCACCGGTAATTTAAACACGACCGCAGCTGCATTTCTACCCCGCCATGTAGCTGCCAGCGAGGTGCCTCGACAATAAAGTCAAGGACGGCAGAAATACTAAGTTGCACGCAAGGAAAGGAGGAACCCAGGAACAAAGCAAAAATCAAAGTAGAAGGTCAGTACTTGACAGCTTTATTTGATTCAGGTGCACAAGTATCTCTAGTTAAGCCGAGTATCGTGCAGGGGTTCAATATTCAAGTTAACAACGATATTAGTCTATTTGATATTCAGGGAAGGAAAATCAATAATAATGGAAAGGTTATTTTACCAATACAGTTGAGTTCAAGAAAGTCCATTGAACATGAGTTCATCCTGATAAAGACAGGGAATTTTAGAGCAGATATGCTGCTGGGATTAGACTTTTTACAAAGATTCGGAGCAAAAATCGATTGGGGAACAGGGAAAATGTTCATTCTAGATGAAGTTATTGAGTTATTAGAAGAAAATAACGATTGGGAAAAAGAGATAAAAGTGAGGTTAGGTGAAATGGAAAATAATCTGGTTGAAATGAGAAATCCCTTGAAAGCCTTTACTTCAACCGTACTCAAGGAGGATATGAATTCGATGCCACTGGAATTGGCAGCGAATTCCGGTGAACAGGGGAATTCCCGTCCTCTGGTTCACCAAACAGCAATATCCATCCCTAACACTCCAAGGTATAGAGAGAAGTCAAAGGAAAGGAAGGCTGAACATCGAATTATAACAGAAAATGTACCACCTATGTCAAAAAGACCTTACCAAGTACCCTACCAACGTCAGAAAATACTGGACAAGGAAATTCAAGGTCTTCTAGAAAATGAAATCATACGTGAATCTTCATCACCATTGTCACTTCCAGCAATATTGGTAGAGAAGAAATTGCACCCTGGAGAAGAACCCCAATTTCGTCTATGTATCGACTATAGAGATCCTAATGCAATCACAAAAACAGATTTCTTTCCCTTACTAAATCTCCAAGAAACCTTCGATCAATTGACTGGCTCCAGTATTTTCAGTGTGTTAAATTTGGCTAGTGGATATTTCCAAGTAGAACTCGACCCACGAGATCAGGAGAAAAGTGCATTTATCACCCCTACTGGCCATTATGAATTCAAACGCATGGCTATGGGCTTGAAGAATAGTTCAGCAACTTGGCAAAGACTATAGTATACTTATTGATTTTTTTCGGAGAAATATCATCTATATGCATACTGACGCATTTATTGAGAAATTAGAAGTTGAATACTTTTATATTTACTCTTCCTACGGAGTTATGATGAGAATTGTCAATTAACTTCCCTCACACAAACCCAGATATATTAATTCAGAATCTCATCGATCATTTTGTTTTTCTAAAAAAAAATTAAACAATTTTAAGCCGTGAAAAGTGGGTATGAAGAATACTTTTTTCATTGCAGTAATGCAATGCACGGTGTATTTCACAGCTCGGTTCACAGCCAGCACTAGAACAACATTTTGCTACATCACACACACCTTCACTCACAAGACACGGCTCTATCGATTCGAACGATCGAAACCATTGAACAATAATTGAACACGGGTACCCATGACAGAGAACAGAAGTGAAAATGAACGCAATCTGTAGCTTTATCAGCCCCAAAACTAATGAAAAACTAGAGCGAAATGATGAGCCGAATCACGATTGTCGAATGATTGTCTGATAACGGTCATACATGTGAATTGCTATAAAAACAGCTCTCCAATAAGCATAATTAAAAAAACGAGCTATGTCAATAAAAAATCTAAATAGACTAGAATTTATAAAATTCTCATGTCATAACACACCTGCGTTATGATGGTAGCAAATGTCCATTCAAGGGTATTACAAATTGTTCAAGAAAGCGATTTTAATAATTACAGAATGGGGAGGATACTGTTGTAATAATAAAATGATCAGGAATAGGAGATTTCTTTATAATGGTTATTACAATCGGAGCTGGTAGATATTTTTAATATCCAGTTTCTCTCAGTGCAGAATAAGACCAATGAATGGTTTCATCACAGAGCAGGAAGGATAACAGCCTCCAAATTCAAGAGTGTTTGCCATACCAATATTGAGAAGCCCTCAATATCTCTCATAAAATCAGTATGTTATCCAATGAAATTCAATTTCAGAACAAAAGCTATTGATTGGGGTTTAGAACATGAGAGGATTGCTTTGAAAGGTTACTTGGAAAATAAGATTGATAATCATGAGAATTTCATTTTGAAACATTGTGGTTTGTATGTGGATCCAATTTTTCCTGCATTTGGTGCATCTCCAGATAGTATGGTGTCATGTATAGTTGTTGTGGAAAAGGATGTGTAGAAGTAAAGTGCCCCTATTTATTGAAGAATCTGGACATAAGCGATTATCTTCCAATGAAGAATTCTTGTTTAACCAGTGATGGCAGTAATGTGTATTTGAAACGTGACCATGCATATTATTATCAGGTCCAGTTGCAACTAAAACTCACTCATTCCATGTTTTGTGATTTTGTGGTGTGGTCTCCAAGAGGATTTTTTGAAGAAAGGATATATTTTGATGAAGATTTCTGGAATACAGAATTTTCCAAAGCTCTCCAGTTCTTTAAGAAGGTCTCCACACAGCACAAGTAGATTCTAGGAATGATATCAGAATATTCAAGAAGTATATTCGAATATTCTCAGAATATATGTAAAACGCCACAAGAAGATTAATAGGACGTTCTCAGAACTTGCGAATCTCAACACTTTCCATATTCTCAGAACGTTCTGGTAACATGCAATTGGATATTCTGAAATGTTCTACTCATGTTATATGAACATCTATATGAATAAAAGGATGTTCTCAGAATATCATTGGAATATTAGAAATTTCTATACAGAATATTCACAGAATATTTACTAAAAGTATGACCAGATTGTTTGAAATAATGATATATTACTGAAAATACATAAAAATATATGTATAACTTGAAAATCATAAACAAAAATTCTGGTACATGAAAAAATAGAAAACAAAATTCTTCAATAAAATAAGTGATGCAATAACTAAAAGCATTATTTTTTGGTTTCTCTTTCTTTGGCCTTTACCAGCCAGAGTTCCACCACGTTCTCCACGTCAGCTGCAATTATGTGTCTTCTTCGCAGACTCTGAAGAAATCATAATAAAAATATTGTGTAAATGATATTCACAGAAAAATTATGAAAACCTACCAACCACTATATTGGCAACATTCATGACTGAGAAATTCTCTTTATTTTTGAATCCAATCCAGCTGAAGTTCATTGCCACAACATTACTTATGAGTTTTTCTAGTAATCTTCGGCTCATTATTTTGTAATTGAAACCACCAATTTCGGAGAGTTCTTGAATCTAAAAAAATCATTTAATGAAAATTAAACTGTAACTCAATCACAGAACATACAATAACTGGAACATGATCTTTATTAGTATCACAATAATTTTCAAACTCTTTCAGATGCTCCATGAATTTCAAAGGGAATTCAAATTTCTCGAATATGGATTCTTCAATCCTGACTTCTTCATGCTTATTGTTGATCTTCAGAGAAGCTACATCTTCCAATAACTGGTCACATTTATAATCAATAATTGACATTTGTCGTAAGATCTGAAGCTTGCAGGAATCATCTACAATAACATTGATTATTTGTCACTATGTCCTGCAGGAATAAACTAATTTTTAGATAGGAAAACGAATCGGCGAATCTCTCTTCAAATACAAAGTAATTATCTCTAGGTAAACCACCATAGTAAAAGATATTACCAATTGAAATTTGACCGACTTTTGCTATCCCAGGCTGACTTGAAGTTTCGGTCGGTTTCTCACATTATGTAGATTTGTTATCAGAATCATTGCCTTGGGATGGTAGAGTATTATTTTGTTTATGATTCAAGTTTTTGGAATGGTCCAGTCTTGCAGTGAATAGATCGAGCCTTGGCATATCTATTTTTTTCTGTACAACCTGGCTATCACTTTCTTCTGAATCTGAATCAGGTACACTTAAGAAGCGGCGATTCACCTTTTTTTTTCGTTTTCCTTCGACTTCAGAGTTCGAATTTATATCTGAGGTATTTTCAGCCCTTTATTGCCTTTTCTCTAGCTCTTGGTAAATTATCTGCAAAAATATATAAAATATTTCCGTAAAAATGAACATTCTTGTCAGGTGTCCAGTGTGATAACATTTGAAGATACAAGTCTATAAGTATTTTCTTACAAAATAATTTATTGTGAATTTTTTCTTTAATATTTTTTTGTTCCCAACCATAGATTCCTCCAATTATTCTTATTCCATGACATATCCAACTGTCTTGTGTTGGTTCACACTTTGCTATTGCGCCTTTCAACCGTGCTCCAGAAAATGGGGGCCAGGCACAATTGTTATCATTTACCCAAGATAATGGGACAGCCTCTACGGTATCCTCTTGGATGAAATGTACCACTCTCCAGAACATGATTTGAATAATATAAAAGCAAGTAAGTTTTGCTGACTGCAAGAGAAAACTTTTTTGAAAGAATCATAAATTTCAATGAAATTGAAGGTGTATATACATATGGGAATATCAGTATTTTTCCAAGATAGCAGCAGAACAAATACTAGTGATAAAAAATATGTTCACAAATTCCTACCACAATTGCAATCCTATTAATGTGATTTTGTCAATAATAATGAATGAAATATTTTGAACAAAGAATATAAAAAAACTAGGCATGGTGAGTACACATTAAATTTCAATTTCGGTTGAAAATTATTCCTCATGCAACATTGGAAGTACAATAAACCCATCCTCATATGGTAATATGGCTAATTTATTGTTGAAGGATTCCACAGCCCATGTAGAGATAGGTCCCAAATTTTTAACTTGATGAATACCAAGCACAGATGATTCGCAAGGATATTCAAAAAAGTTATCAACTGTCATGAATTTCCTACCAATGATAGATATTTGATCATTTCTTTCTAAAATATTGGACATTATTATAATACTCCCGTCCTTGAGGGTACAGGAATTGTTTCCAGCATTTGCAGTATTATATGTGAAATTCTTATATTTCAGAACATGGTACTGTTGAGTACACCCATCTATCATAACAGTGTAATGAAGTGTTTTTGACCAGCTTCATTACTAGACTGGTTTTGATCAAAATCCAAGTATCTGAGCCTGATTCTAGTTGAATTTCACCTGTTCGAAAGCTCGAAACCTGGAAACCTGAGAGAGCTGAGTAATGCTCATGAACATCATTACAACCCTAAAGACTTCCATATTTTCCAACTCTTTGCTTATGATATGAAATTAGATGAATTATCTATCTGTTGAAATGCTTGATGTTTGACTGCTCATAACTTTGTTGTTATTGAATATTTTCCAGCCAAATTCATTCAGTAGCATAAGCAAAGGTAATAGATCCTGTTCCTGTGCCCATTTAGGGTTGAATATTATATTTTCCGCATTTTGTGTTGGAGGTGCACATGTGCTTTCCAAGGACAGATTTAGTGGCCATGGCCATGAGCCATGACAAGGTGGGAGTATTGACCAATGAGATTCCAGATTTACTTGTCCTTGTGCGAAGGCCAAAGCAGTGTACAAATACTGAAGACAGCTAAGGATTCTGGGCTCTCCTCTCTTCTCTACAAGTCTGCACTACCTGCCCGACCTGCTCTTCAAGCTCTTGATTCTCTTGCTGATCTCTTAGTGCTCTCATAGTTCATTCAAAACAAGTGTAAAGTATTATTGTATAGTGATTTTTTGTTACACATGTAAGTTTGTATATTTTTCACCATTATTATTCATCCTGTTCATATACATTCATTTCATTTCTGTTGTCAAAATTGCAGATTATTATTATTGACTGACGACTGACACTGACAAGCCAGTTGTGAATCCTTCTTCTTCTTTTCCTCGAAAAATTCTGTCCTGTATATCCGGGTCTCTGTGCTTTGTGTTCCGTCAGGCGGTGATCTATGTTTCATGAAATTTTGACATGAATGCATGAATGGAAAATATAATTAACCTCACTAAAATCCCGAGATTGAGAAATTAGAAAACCGAAGAAAAAAGAAAGATAAATGAGCATTGAATCTGTTTAATTCGTTTGGAACTGTGTTTCCGATCCTCCAGGTAGAAATGATGAAATAGTTTGAATAAATAATTTTCCCGACCTAACCTCAAAATACCAGAGAGTCCCGAAATATATTTGTTTTGATTCCTGTAATTATCCAGACTAGAAATAGCAACCAGTATCCCAGGCTGAACCCAGGGTTTGTAATTAAAGCCTACACTCCCTTGGCTACTTATTGATTCCAGGTCGATTCAATACCATTGACCCCTGGTTTATACTGTAGGTACCGAGGTAGGTATACCTCCTGTACCTTTCTCCACTGTTGCTACTTTGGGCCTCTATACAAAAATATTTTGTGCAGAGCAGGTAGAGTAAACTACCTCAAAAACAATCTGGCGCTAGAGAATCCCCCCCCCCTGTCAAATACCAGAGTAGTCTCCTGTCCTGAACAGAGCGTCAAAGTAAGGGCCACAGAATAAAGACACTTACAACAGAGTCATTATGTTCATTCTGTAACCCAATATCTTTCACAGATTTCAGCACCTTTGATATTTTTTATCCAATTCAGCAAGTCTCCTAATTATTTGAGATAGTGGTTTTCCTGCCTTCCTACATAACTTTTTAATAGCTTGCAAATGATTCTCAAATGGAAAGGTACTATATCTATCCAAAGTACCAAACTGTTTGACATCATCTGCAATATGAGTGATTCCATGAACATTGTGGGACATGTACTCAATTCCATGAATGTCTCCAAACATGTTGACAAAATATTTAGCTGGAGCATCACATATGAATCCCTTGATACAAAAGGGAATTATACAATTTGCAACAACAATGCCATGATTCGTTAACTGTATGGTTTCATTCACAAAATCTAGCAGAAAATCATTTGCACACTCTGGCTTATCATAACCATGATATATACCAATCACAGATACTATTTTTGGATTCTCATAGAGAGAACATAATATTGGAAAAGCCTGGCTTCCCGAACTTTTGCTCAAGGGTGATCCATCTATGTTAACCAACAACTCAATTTTTTCTGATGTTCTCCCCTGAACAAGTTTCTTGACTGCGTTTTCTACACCTATGTGTGAATATAATCCAGGTTTAACCATTCTGGTCATTGTTTTTCTGGGAGTAGAAAGAAAAGTTCTAGAGTTGAGTGGTTATTCAAGATCAAGAGGTAATGTATTCATCAATTTGAGGAAGTCATTCAAAGCTGCATGTCTGATTTGATGGTGGAGAGCCCACTGAACGAGTTTACTTCTGAAATTTGAGGAGGATACCACCTCAGCATCATTATTCGTAATAATGACTTCCAAATGCTTGGAATCAGGAGACGTGAAGGAAGAAGCAGGTTCACCAAAATACCCATTGCATGAATCACCCGAGTTGTTTTCATTAGTAATGTTCAACAGATCTGTTGGCGGACTCTGATGATTAGAACTGTCATTGTAGAATAGCTTCGAAAGCAATGCGAAAATTATTTGTAGAAACGCATATCGGCACTCCAATAAATCGTGTTTTCATGTAGAATTGGATCATCGATAAACTTCGGGATTCTGGTTAGAAAACTAGTAACTTTCTTTCATTGCGTGTTCTGTGTCTGGTTCAGTGTCAATGTTTTGGCAGATGATAGAAGAAGGTTCAAATTTGAAGTTTTGAAAATGAAAAATAATTATAAACTTATTATAAATATCAAATTCATAAGGCAGAATTAAGCAGAATGTTTCCCCATATTAGATACGCTGCTAACGAAAACCAAAGAGCTATTTACAGACAATTTCATTTTGATCGAAGAGTTATGAGAGATGCTGCTGATATCCCTTTTCCTTGACTGATGAACACTTCATCCAATTGTTTAGATTGGATAAGGAGTTAGTTCGATTCTTGTTTGATGAAATCGGTCCTCATATGAGGAATTCGAATAATTATAAAGCTATACAACCCTTAGGAAGCATATTTGCAGTCTTGTCATTCTATGCTACAGGAACTTATCAAAGGGTGATGATTGGGCAGTCATTCAATATATCAATGTCTCAACAAAGTATTAGTAGGTGTATCAAGGAGGTATCACAATTGATAATTGATCAGCTTTCTGAGAGATACATAGAATTTCCACAAACTCAATTCGAGAAAAATCGAATAAAGGAAAGGTTCATGATCGAAACCCATTTTCCAAGGGTTATTGGTGCAATAGATTGCACACATGTTGCCATTTTAAGACCTACAGAAGAGGAACACAATTACTTTAATCGAAGAGGATACCACTCAAAAAACATACAATTGGAAAATATGATTCAATCATTCTGAATCTTCTGAATATCTAAGTAACATTCAATTTTCTAGATATGTGATTATGATCTGAAAATTTTGAATATAAATGCCAGATATCCAGGTTCTTGTCATGATGCTTTCATCTGGAGGAATTCCATTATACATGATGAGCTGAGACAATGTTATGATGATGGGGACCACAATTCATGGTTATTAGGTGATTCAGGATATCTTCAGCAACAATGGCTCATGACTCCTGTATTGAATCCTGTGAGAGGTTCACCCCAGTATCGATATAATAGGAGGCATGGCAGTGCAAGAAATTGCATTGAGAGGTGTAATGGGGTTTTGAAAGGTCGTTTCCGATGTTTGGCAAGAAAGTTACAATATAACCCTGAGAAAGTGGGGAATATAGCAGTGGCATGTGCAGTATTGCACAATTTGTGCCTAATGCGAAATATTGAACACCCTATACCAGATCAGCCAGAAGATGGAAATGATGACTATTTTATACCTGCTGATGTACTGATCGATTTTGGTCAAGGGCAAAGGGATCAAAATAACAGAAATTTACTGATACAAAGATATTTCACATGAGTACTGAATGTCAATGAATATTGAATATATCAATTTATAAAATTTTGTGAGTGTGATTCTTGTTCTCTGGGCTGAGAATAACAATGAAAATGTCAGTGTATTCTTTATAAGAAAAAATAGTAATGAATAAAAACGAAACTCAAATAAGAAGCAGTTTATTCAAGATGTATCACATGATGATTTCAGGAACTTTAATTAGACTTGAACAAAAATAATAATTCCCACAAAAACTTAACTCAAAATAAACTCTGAAGAATCACAAGATCAATATCACATAATGATTGTTTTAAATAAAATTATTCAATTCTAAAAAGGTAAGTCAAGTACCTAAACCTAATACATCATAAAACAATATTATTTGTTCATTGACAAAAATGATCTACAAGTGTCTGAAAAGAATTTGCAATCTAACAAATATTATTATTAATATTTTCAAGTGAGGTCAAAACATCTTCATGCATAGCGTTTACATCAACTCTGCTATTCTTGGAAGTATTTTTCACTTTTTCATTATTATTTTTAGAATCATTTTTTGTTGTAGTACACTTTACCACCTCCTGCTCATCATTTTCTAATGTAGGGATAATGGCGTATTCATGATCAAGCATTACTTCTTCAATTATGATATTCTCATCTGCTGGAACGGACTGATTTTTGCTCGAATTCCTGGGATCTGAAAAACCATTTGAACTAGATGAGTTGTGAGTGGAATTTTATAATCCATAATATTGAAGATATACCTTTTATGTATTCTTCACTTCGAGCACCATTTTGCTATTTTTCCTCTACATGTTCATTCAATTTCCTCTTAAGACCTGAAAAATATAAGTCAATGATTAGTGGTATAGGTAATAATTAATATTTTTTCCTATACACTGAGTACCTACTAATGAGGGAACCAGACATTGAATTATTTCATTATGATTGTGTTTTGAGTCTTTGTGTACCCCCACCTTTCTCTGCAACAGTCTTATCCCCATAAGCAGCTGCAGTTCCCATCAGGCTCAAAAGTTTTTCTTCCAAAGTTGTTAGCTTCATATTGATAGAAGGACCTCCACCAGTGCCATGAATATACTTATATATTTTAGCAGATTTAGCCTTGGTTTTCGATTTCCAGTCTGCAAGCTTTTTTTTTCATTCTTCAACAGACCTTTCACGTTGGCCTAGACTTTTTGATTTGGTGGCCAAATCTTCCCATAACTCCACATTTTTCTGTTTCCCGTTGAAGTGGGTGCTAAATCGGTTAGTTATTATTTCCTTGTGTAATTCGGAAAACTCTAATATAGTAGTCCAGTGATCATTTGAAACACGCATTTTCTTCGGATTTCCTGATACTGAACACATTCACACTCGTTTTTGGAAATAAAAAAATAATGATTCACAATCACAATATCACAAATAAAAAATTTTTTCTTTTGTTTCTAGTTTCTAGTTATATAAAAAGTTAGGTTAAGTAGAACATTAGTAGAACCAAGAGGGCATCTCTCTCTGCTAAGACTTTCTCTGTTTGACACACATAATTAAACGGGTTTCTAGAGCTAACATTTTTCGTATCAAGGCGATTCTATCGGTGGTTGCGGGACAAGGGGATTTCAGTAGAAAACGTTCATCAGAGTAGCGAATTTCGATTCAATTCGATTCTACTACGCATTTCTAATCATCAGAGTAGCAAATTTCGATTTAATTCGATTCTACTACGCATTTCTAATCCTCAGAGTCCCACTGCTGATGTGTTCCTAGAATCCAAATAGGTATAGTTATATCTCATAACTGATTATTCAAGAATGACGACGAATTACCTCGAATTGAACAACACTTCATTTTCTACCCCTAATAACTCATCTTGCTCCGAGTCTTGCTCTATCTCTATGAAGGCGTCATGTGAATGATCTATTATAGCATTCGATTTAGAACCATTTTCCACCCTCCGAAAAAAGCTGCGATCGCTACGCGTATTATTAATTCTTTTTCTTTTCACCATTTAACAAAAAAAATTATCAATTACCTTGAATTTGCGACTCAATCAAAAAACTGGAGGGAACAGAGCTAGACCAAGTCCACAATAATCCACAGTCAACAACTACAATCTACCTACACAAAATCAGAAAACAGAAGAAAGATATTTGTGTTGTGAGTTGTGAGGTTAGGTTGCACGAATTCATCTGACCTGAAATAAAGCATCTACAGACAGTATGCAAAGAATCAGGTCGCAACAAATAGTTCTTGCGGAAACAAGTTGTTGAGCGATTTGTTGTCATATTGCACGATGCTTCATTTCAGGTCAGATTGAATTCGATCTAAGGCTCCCCTGGATGGACGTTCGGCGATATTTTCAATTCGTAATGCGGTGATTGATAAAACCAGTGCGCACTCGGTGTACCTTTTTCGTCTTCATTAGATGAATAAAGACAAAAATACATTTGGCAAATACAAAGACTTGAACTCTGATGCAACCAATGGAAATTGCGTAAATTGATGTATAAAGAAAAAATAAAAATAACTTCAACATGAAAGAACATATATCAGCTCTAGATGATTATATGATTGATTGATTATATGCGGGAACGTGAAGAGGAAATAGTTTTCGAACATTCTAAATACATTCAGCTCTGAATATTCTTATAACATTCTTTCACTACACTGTTTTACCGCTAACCAAACCGATTTTTTAACGCCTCAACACGTGTTTCGCTAACTATGTTAGCATCTTCAGGAGAAGATTAAAACAGGCACGAAAAAAATCAAAGGGAGCTGAATATGAAAGTGATTTGAATTCTGACACTGACAAATTCAATCGTGCAGTTAGACATAAGAAAGCTCTTTCAACTGATGAGGAAACTGAATCGTCTGGGAACGAATTGACTGTTTCATCAAAGAAAAATGGGACCAGAAAGAAGTATCCAAGGCCCCCCAGAACTTCTAGTGATGTCAGCAGTGCTTCCAAAGACTCAAATACAAATGATCATGCTGTTTCAAACATCACAACTCCTATGAATCTTCAGACTGTTGGTATGTTTATTTCCAGTAGTTAAAAGCCCCTCTAGATTTACACATACATTTACAAATACAATTTCATCTTCTTTGTTCCAGATATTCCAACATGTTCTTGTTGCCCACTGCACAAAAATGGTATGAAATGGTAATGAGTCCTTACATAATTCAACTTAATGACAAATATTCATTTCAGATGAGATTATCAAATCTATTCACAAACAACAAATATTGACAAGGAATATTTCATCTCAAGTGCTGGAAGAGTTGCAACAGCTCAAGGAAATTGAATGTGTGGCAACAGAGAAGGATAATGAGAATATCTCCATATTTTCAATATTCCATTTCTCTCTTATGGATAATGATGGGCAACTCAATGATGTAGAAGAATATTTAAAGGACGAGAAGAACTTTACATCTGCTGTAAGTTCATCAACAAGATACTCTCTAAATTTCAAATTGAACTTCACATTGTGTTTTATTTTCAGATAAATGTGTTGTCCAAGCTGGGAGGCAGCAATGTCTATGAAGTTAAAAGATGTCTGAATTCTTCATTTTCTAATACCTACGCTGCCGAATATAGTTGGCTTGGGATGAAGAAAAAAAAATCTTCAGCAAACTCAAAATAGCCAAAGTACTGATTGGTAAGGACTTCCAATTAATGTTTCAAAATTCTGAATTTTTGAAGGTTTGTTTTCAATGAGGAATTGAATTACTAAAATTTGAAAGTTTTTCATTCTCTTTATGGTATTTTAATTCATTTTCTTTAGGGGCACGTGACAAAAGCCATTTAGCAGTGAATACTAAGGCCTCAGAGGAGGCGATAAAGAAATGGCTGAGGAGAGCAAAGGAGAGAAGTGACCGTCAACAGAAGACCAAATAGTTAACAAAAATAAAGGACTGACCTTTTTGTCTGAGCTTTTTATTTCTTATTTTAGTTTTTTTTTAATAGAGTTGTTGATATTTTTATGTAATATTTTTTGTTGGATACACTTTTTTTTTTTTGTATATTTTCATGAATATTGAATTAGTCTTATTGTTGGTCCAACTAACATCCATTTGAGATCCAGATGATGTCCACTAAAAGTCCAAAATTTGTCCATGTACGTACAATTTATGTACAAAAACTGTACAGAAATGAATATCCTATGGATATCCATCACAGGTCCAGATAACGTCCATTGAAAGTCCAATGTTGGTCCATTGTGGTACAATACACGTACAGAATACGTACATATCTGGTCGAAAATGAATATCCAATAAACGTCCAGGTTGGTGGACAACGGATATCCATGGGATATCCATTGGACGTCCATTGGAGGACATCCATAGGATATCCATAATGTTCGTTACAGATATCCATTGGATGTCCTTGTGTTTACTGGGATTCAATCATGATTCAGTGATTGGAGATCTGAAGATTGAAATTTCTATCTATCAAGATCAACCTCTCTTCAATTATGGAAGTTTTCTTTAATTATTCCCAAATATTCCATTTCAATATCCATATTATGTAGAGATAGATAGTTGATGATTGTTAAAACTTCACAAATGATAAGATTTCCACAATAGTCATTTACGTTACTAGTGCGGAAAGTGACACTTTTTTTATACTTGCGTGCGGAAAAACCCCAAAATTTTTCATAAAGAAACATTTATTTGTTCTTTGAACATTATAGGGATTCGCTCCAAGCGATAAAAAAATACATGTCAACAAATTAACTATTAATAATATAAATATTTTAACAAAGGACCCCGCATATTTAGTACAGAAAATGGCTCTTAACTATTTTTTCCGAAAATGTGATATTTCAGATATTAGCGTCCTAATTACACAGTCCAATTTTTTATTTTGGCTGTTTGGAATATTTTGCATCTATGATATTATATTAAGTCATGATAAATCTTCAGTAAAAATAAATTATTTTTGTGATAATTGATTACTTCAATAAAACACTTTCTATCACGTGTCGTACTTTATTGGTGATTACCAGCATGAACTATTATACTCCATAAAAACTATATAAATATGATTCGGGCAAGGCGTGATTGATGACTGCTTCTCTAGCCTGCAGTGGCATTCTGTAACTCAAAGCGAAAGCAAAAGCATGCGTATTCGATTGCTTCTTCCGTTTTGGTACTCTGTATCGTTATTCGGGTGACGTCGGCAACACCGAATGTGTATTCGGATGCAAAGCAAAAGCGCCACGACTCGGGCGAACTATTCTTGCTATGTGAGGTTAGGGTTTTCTTTAATGAAATAATAAAAGGAAGTTATAACAAAGGTAATAATACTAATAACTATGAATGAACGAGCAAAAACACATTCCAGCCAATGGGACAGATTAGATTTTGCAGAAAAAAAGATATGTTGTCCTTACTAAGAAAATTGAAGGTCCGTTTGGCAAAAACAAATATGATGAATTGTGGAAAGAGCTCACCATATCACTAAATAGCATGGGCTATGTTGAAAAAACCACTGAAAAATGGCAAAAAGTGAGTCTTATTGATATTATTAGATGCGATTTTCTTGACTTGATCCTGAAATATAATGTTCATGATATTTTAGGCAGTAGCTGATTGGAAGGGAAAAGTAAGGACCAAAGCTGCTGGTATAAAAGTGGAACTAACGAAAACAGGGGGAGGAGGTCCAGTTGGACCCCAACTCACGGAAACTGAGAAGAGATTGATTGGGGTGATGGGATGGTGTTCAATAAGAGGAAATGGAACTCTGGAGCTTCAAACTCCCACAACAAGCATTGTGAGTCGAAATCTACATCTAGTTTGTATACATCTGGGCTGGGGTATCCTGTGGATCAGGATAAGTCATGAATAATCTGAATTATTTTCTCCCCTATTTTTAGCTACCAGATAACCAGATAGGCATGGAGCACAGTTATCAATTTCAAGTTCAGCCTTCTTCGGGTAAAAATGTGACATTATCACTACCACCACTGATAATTTCATCAGAAAAAATAATCTGAATCAAATAATACTTCCTGATATACCTGAGGCTTCCAATAGGCCAGTACCTGTGGAAACACCCAGCAGGAAAAGAAAATTTATAAAAAAAACTCCAAATACAATCCGACAAGGAAACTCATATTTAGAAAAGATGCATGAGGATACTATGGCTATATTGAGAGAAATCAATTCCAATATACAGAAGCTGGGAAATACCCAAGAGAGAATGTGTGATATTCACAGTAAACTACTAGATTTTTTTTTATCCCCCTGAGGACAAACCATGAGTGTTTCTTGTTTTTCTCCGTCTGTTATGTTATCCAAGTACCTACCTGTTTTTGATGAGTATTATTAGTTTCTAGAATGGGATTTCTTGTTGTTTCTGTGATATCAGGATTCATTTTATTTAGTATGTTATGTTAGTTTTTTTTTTTGCATATTATTTTGATTTAGGTAGTCATCATAGTACCTGTTTTTCTATTTCGGTACCTGTTCTTATGATTTTGTTTGTTTTTGATGAGTAGTGGGCTCTACAATAAGATTCTCTTGTTTTTCTGTGATATCAGAAGTCATTTTATCTAGTTTATATGTTAGTACTGTAGTTTTGGCTGATATGAGGAGTCTTTCATTTTGAGGAATTAAAATGTTTTTGAATTCATATATTGGATTTTTCTTGAAATCCCTGCCTTTTTGAAAACACCTCAATGGCTAATAAACCAAAAAATAAAAATGAGTACCAACTATGAAATGATTTCTCTATGTGTAGGTATTCATTTTAGAATAAAAATAACTGTTGAATTTAGATTTTATTTGAATCCAACATTATTAAGTATTTCCTGATTATTATCCTACCTACTCATTACAATGGAAAGAAATGTAGTTAGTTTTGAAGATATCTTGTGATTATTGTATTCCTAACATCTATTCCTACATTGAAAATGTTTGGTTGTGGCTGAATTGCTGGATTGTTGACTTCAATGTCATCCTGATTCTCAATAACCAGATTATTATCAACTGGGACCCTCCACTTCACACAAATATTATGTAAAATGCAGCAGGCATTAACATTGATTCCCACCTTTTGGGGTCCATACCGGAGTTGACGTTCTCCTAAGAGGCAGCGGAAACGTCCTTTGAGAACCCCATTCACCCTTTCAATGCAATTCCTACCAAGGATGTGAGAATCATTATATAGCTTTTGAGGTGTATGTGGAAGGGCACCTTGTACAGGAGTCATCAAGCATGGTTCTTGAGGATAACCAGAATCACCCAACAGCCAAGTATTTCTTTGGCCATTTGTATAATCATTTTGAAACTGATGTTTGATTAGGGATTGACGCCAAATGAATGAATCATGACAACTTCCTGGAAAGTTTGCATTGACATTCAAAATCAATAAATCCTGATCATATATCAACTGGACATTTTTTGAGTGGTAACCTTTTCTGTTAACATAGTTATGCTCTTCGTCTGGTGGAGCTATCATGGCAATATGAGTACAATCAATTGCACCAATAACTCCAGGCATGCCACATTTCTCAAAAAAAATTATCTTGTTCCTGGCCATTTGTTGATCTGGAAATGATATCCATTCCCCGTGAAAATGATCTTGAATAAGAAGTGATACTTCAGAAATGCATCTACTAAGTACTTGTTGGCTTATTGCTAAGCAGTATTCTTGGCCTACACCTGTTTGGTAATTCCCAGTTGCATAAAACCGCAATGCTGCTAATATTCGTTGTTCACAAGGCATTTTTGTCGATCTTGATGACGGCTGCATTAATTGCACTAGTTCATCAAATAGTAAATTAGTGATATGCTTGTTGACTCTGAATAAATCGATGAATCTATCATCCGTCAAAGGAAAGTGGTCACTTCTATCGCGATAAAGACGTAATGGATCTCTACGTTCAACAGCATTGAAAATAGCAATATTAGCTGGCAACATTATTTATTATTTCTGATGAGAATATGAAAACTAACCAAGAACCAAACATAACTTTCTCAATCTCAATGTTCGATAATTAATTACGGTGTTGCCAAATTTAACTCCATCAACTCGTTTGGTTTCGTAAAAAGTCGTATAGCAATAACGAAAGCATAACGTAGCATAACGAACTCGATACAGAGTACGGATAAACAAAGCATACGCTTTTGCTTCGTTTCGTTTTCGCTATGCTTCTGCTTCGTGATACGTCTTAGGGAGGCCGCACATCAAAGAAACATGAAACCTGAAACATGAAGCATGAAACGTGAAACACGTTTCATGAAAATAGAACACGGCCAGAGAAATGGAAGTCTGCCCACTAATGAAACAAGTGTGATGCATGTGCCTAAAACATTGTTATCGTGTTGAAACGTGAAACGCTGAGATAAAACCCTAAAT